TAAGATTGGCAGGGCTTATCTCTTCCCTTTACATGTTAGAAACATCCTATAGCAACTTTCACTGACTTAGGAGGAATAATAACAGGAAATAAACATAACTCATTCCATTCTTCCTATCACACTTAAAAAATAAAATTCATGCAATTTTTAAAAATATCTTATAAACCCAGTCAACACTTTCTTTTAAAAAGTAAAGTGTAACCTCTGCTTTAAGAGATCACAATAAAATTTTTAAATATTTCCATAATTAAGAAAAACAAAGTAGTCTATATAAGCATAAGAATTCAAGTTGCTTTGTGCAGTGAAATGAAAATCTATCATGTAACAACCATCCTGAGCTACATATTAAGACGTAGATTACTTTTCAAGTCACATCACCAATTGCTAATTTTTATTTACATTAAGGACAAGTATAACATTTACCAATTACAAGTCTACAGGTTTACTTGTTGGTAGTAGTTGAGCTTTTCCAATAGGATTTTTGGGAGAACCTTTATACCAGATCCTTTCTCGTTCTGATGGTTTCCTAAGGACCATGTTATTTATCTCAGGGGGAAAGCTCATGTTATTATTTACAACAGATTTTAATATTGCATGATTTGTCAGGTCATCCAAGGGAACCTTCATTTGATCATCGGATATCACTTTCTGTTTAGAAACTCTGGGAGACCTAAGAGAAGCATTCATGGAGTCTGGAAGCCTCTTCATCCGTGAGAAAGATTTAGAAGTTAATTCCATGCTTGATTCTAAAATTGCATCATTTGACTGTTTGCATGGTGCAGAATTCTGGTCTTTCGGACCTGATGGGGTACGAGACATTGAGGAATCTGACGTACTTTCTACACAACAGGGAAGAGCACTGTCACAGCTCACTGATTTAACCAGAGGAGAAGCTGTATCACCCAGATGCGCCAAATTACGCCTCACAGGTTGTCTGTTATACTCCAACAAAGAATTAATTCTCCTGACAGACTGACGGACAGGAGTACGCTGAAACTTCAGAGGCGACTTAACTTTTTTCCTATTTGATTCATTTAAAGAAAGCTTATTAAACCACTGTATGTGGTCTGAAACCTTTCCATGCTCTGTTACTTGTAAACTTTCAGAAACCGTTTTATCACATGTTTCCACCAGTGACTGCTCTTTAACCATTTTCACGGGCCTAGGTTTTGACAGGTTGGTTACATGACATGTAATCTGCTCTGAGGAAGAGCTGTTAGCCACATGCTCCCTAGAAGCTGCACATTTCGGTAAGTTTTCTTTAGTCATACTGTCCTTCTCCTTTAATTCGGTATTTAGTTTATCCCTTGGGGAATGTTGAGCTTTTATTTGTTCATCACTGGGCAACTCCTGCTTGCTTAAATAATCGCTTGATATATTTGAATGAATGCTTTCTTCATGTACCATCTTCATCTGAGTTGAGGAACATTTTATAGTTGCTTCTCTGTCTAATTTTTGAGTCTGATGTAGTGAGAAGTCTCTTTCTGAAAAACTATTTTCACCTTTACTAGTGTGGTATTCCTCTGATCCTATCACAGTCAAATCATTAGTTTCAAATAGATTTTTTTCTGGGCTATATGCTATAGAAGATGTTTCATTTAATTTTACTTTCCCCACATTAGTTATTGATGACCGTCTGTGATTTATCAATGTATGAAGATTACTTCCAGATTCAGAAAATGCTTCCTGAATTTTCACCAAAGTCTCTGCACTCAAGTTATCTTCATTCCCACAAAGAGAGCTTCCAGTTATGCTGTTATTATGTTTACTGTGTACTTTAGAAGGGGTGAGTTCATATGAATTAACAGATGACTTTTCCACCATAATATCAGGCTCCAAAGAAGAGTTTTCCACCTCAAGATTTTCCTCTATTGAAGAAGCTTCATTTGCATCTATTTCTCGAAAACTTGAATTACTAGGTCCTGTCCAAGACATCCGGTAATTTGTTCCATCTAGTCGCTCTGGAGTTAGTAAGTTTTCCTCAGACTTACTAATCTTTTTTGAACCTAAAATAAAGCAGTTCAGGATTTTTAAGCATTTATTTTACAATTTTGAAATATTATACAAATATATGGTAAATAAAAGTACTAAGCATTTAATTCCAATAAATTAAAGAATTATGATAAAAGAAGTAATTTTTAAATGTCAAACATTTCATATTTGTATTTATAAGCACCCTCCAATTGTTCACGAAAAATGCATTGCCAATTCTACGATTTTCATTATTCAAACATGAATTTTAGTACACCTGAAGCTGATGTTGTATAATATTGTATGTCAACTATAATTGAATATATATATAATCACGGGATGTGGAGTATAGTGTGGGAGTGGAGTCAATGGAACTGTAATAGATATGTATGATATCGAGGTGTGAGGAGTGGGACGGTGGATTGGGGGAGGGGGGTTGTCACTTTGAGGGGTAAAAAGTATAACTAGTGCAGTTTGTTGTACACCTGAAACTAATTAAAAATAATAATAATAATAAAATAAAGAAAAAAAAATACAGCACATTTTGACAGGAAAAAAAACCAAAAAACAATTGACAGGGCTTGCTAAAGGGGAAAATAAACCCTTCACTAGACAAGTTACATACCTGGCACATGACAACCCACCATGACCTGCCTAGTTTACTTTCCCTAGAACTCATTTTTATTTCACACCTTTCTAGGTTTTCTATACCTGACCTGTCAATAACCAAGGGAAGGGAGAATGTTAAACTTGACGTGCATTTTGAAGGATTATATGTGATTGGGTATTTTGACTACTAAATTGAGACTACATGTCATGAAGTAACCAGATGTAACATTGTGATTTATATTAAGAAATATATATTTCATTTTATTCTGCTGTTCCTAGCAGAGCTCCTGAAGTGGTGAGAGCTATAAAGGTATCTTTTGTTATGTTAATAAGGTGACTTTTGGAAAGCCCCTAGGTAACCTAATGATGGGGGATAGATAGTTGCCAGGAGAACCAACCATGTCATTAGAGCACTGGAACTTTCAGTCACACCCTCTGATCTCAGGGAGGGAAGATGGGCTGGAGATTTAGTTTAATCACCAAAGGCCAATGATTTAATCAATCATGCCTGAGTAATGAAGGCAAAATAAAAACCCAAAAGGATGGGAGTCAAGAGAGCTTGCAGGTTAATGAACTCGTGGAGATTTGGGGACAGTGGTCCACTTAGAGAGGGCATGGAAGCCCCATGCCCTTTCCCCATACTTTGCCCTATATATATATCTCTTCCATCTGACTATTCTTGAGTTATATCTATTTATAATAAACCAGTAATCTTAAGTAAAAAAACAAAAACAAAACAAAAAAAACATGAATTTTAAATTTCTAGAACAGTAAATTACCTAATATATTTTATCTTTAAAATACAACTCGGGCCGACCGAGTGGTTTAGTTGGTTAAGAGCTCGCTCAACAGTTTGAGCTCTGAGCTACAGCGGGTTCGATTCCCGGCCCAAGCTGAGCAGTCACTGAGCTGCCAACAGGTGGCAGGATGGCTTAGCTAAAAAAAAAAACAAACAAAAAAAGCAAAACCACTAAAGGTTATACATCAATTATATCTCAATAAAGCTGGAGGGAAAAATTTTTTTAAAGCAACTAAAGTAGGCTTTTTGGGTTAAAACTCCTAACAATATCAATATCACATAGATGTAGTTTTACCTTTCTTTGTTAATCTTTCATCAACATCTGGGCTAAAAAGAAGACCTGTTTTTACAGATCCAATCCTATTTTTAAAACTTTGTTGATTTGCAAGTCGTCGACCAACATTTTCAAATCTGTTGACACCAGAACACCCATTCTGTACAAAAAAGAAAAATTCTGGTTAAGAAATGAACCAGTTAATTTTCAAAATATTAAGAAAAAGTAAATTTTTTGTAGTTATCAAAATCCTCTATAGTGAATTAAAAAGGGATATGTAATTTTAAGAAACAATTTTATAAAAAACACAAATATACTTGCATGCATGCTGATGAAAACTGTAAGCATCTGACTTGGCTATTAGTTGATATTTTATGATCTAAAATAAAAACAGCCTCATATATTCATTAACTAAAGAAAAAAGCTTATTTTTGATGACTCTGTGCCAAGGACTGTTCACAATAGTGAAAGAAAAAAGAAAGAAAAGCAAGCAAGCAAGCAAACAAACAAATAAACTCCAGCACCAAAATCTTATGGAATTTATACTCCAGGTGAGACTTAGATCATAACAAAATATACAATAAATTATATTGTATAATATAGAACACATAAGATGAAAAGTGCTGTGGAGAAAAGTAAAGCCCGGTAAGAAGGATGTACTATGGAGTGGCAAAGGGTGGGGTGTAACTTGAAACAGTGAAATAAGATCATTTGTGAGTAAAGAAAAATGAAGGTGACAGTCAAGAAGGTATAAGGAGAAGAACACTCCAGGGCGAGGAAAATGCCAGCGCAGTCTCTAAGGCTGAAGCCAGAGCCGGCACGCTGACGAACAGCAAGGAGGCAAGAGTGGATGGAGCAGAGGCAGGCGGGGGCTTGGAGAGGGCGGCTGGGAACAGATCGTTCAGGAAGTTGCAGTCGACCTAAGACCTTAGGCTTTTTTTCCCCGAGTGAAATGAGGAATCACTGAAGGGTTCTGAGCAAAGAAGTGAAATGACTTAACTCGGGTTTTAAAAGAATAATTTTGGCTCTAGTACTGCAGCATGGTAGAGACAGGTAGACCTACTAATAGCAGCTTACTGCAGTAATCCACGTTTGAGACAACAACTTAGAGAAGGTTAGAGATACAGTCCCGGTGAGAGCTGGTCTGTTTGGGTATCTCTGACAGCAGAAGTTAGACGGGATTCCCAAAGGGTCCAGACAGGGGATGGGGGTGTGAGAGAAAGTGCGGAGTTGAGAATGCCTGCACAGTTTTTGCCTTAAGTGACTGAAGAATGAGTTTCCATTAACATAGATGGTGGAGACTGCAGATAGAAGTGTGGCTGGGGGAGAAGGGGAAGAGTGTGGAAATGGAGGCAGTAAAGAAATGCATCTCAGAACTCTATTCGGGACAGGTTACACTCGAATGTCTATGGGATCAACATCCCAGTAGGACATGTTAAGACACATGTGTCATGTTAAGACACAGCCAAGTTGTTCAGGAGAGCACTCTGATATAAACATGAACATCTCAAGTAAACATATGATGTTTAAAGCTGATGACCACCGTGAGTGAGTGGAGAGAGAAAAGAGAAGTCCAAGGATGACGCTTTGGGCCCTCCAATGCAAGGGAGTTAGAAAAGTCACCAGCAAAGGAAGAAATCACGAGAGTGCGGTGTCCATGCAGCGAAGGGAGAAAGTACACTGACGAGGGACAAGTGATTGGCCAGGTCAATGATGCTGGCAGTCAGGTCAAGTCCAACCAGAGCTGGTACCTGTCCACTCGCTGGAGCAGCGATGAACTTATCCATGGGTGGCCTTGAGCAGCTGCAGTGAGTGTTGGGGAGGAGAGCAGAAAAGGAGGAACTGGAAATATTCAAGTGGAAGAGTTTGGCCTAACGAGGAATAGAGGATGGGATAGTAACTGGAGTGAGGGACAGGGTTGAGAATTTTTTAGCATCAAGTCTATAGCTTTATGCTAACATGAACATCAATGAAAAATGGTGAAAGATACTTACTATGTCTTTGCTACTTCTCCCCAGACTAAATCTCACACGAAGAGATCTTCGAACCTTTTCTTTACGACTGATTTTAGGAGAGAAGCAGCCTGCTTTTCCTGATTCCACCCTTAAAAGAGCAGAATTAAAACTATCAGTTTGTTGGGCTGTCTGAGTGGCTCAGTTGGTTAAGAGTTGCCTTAAGAGTGCGAGCTCTGAGCAACAGGGCCGCCGGTTCAATTCCCACATGGGCCAGTGACACTGCGCCCGAGCTGAGCTGTCGCTGAGCTGCCAACAGGTGGCAGGATGGCTCAGCTAGTGTAAAAACAAGATTGCCTATTCAATGGTGGGCTATGCCCACCCACAACTGAGACTGAACTTGGCACCTTGAGCTGAGCTGCTGCTTGGATGGCTCAGTGGATAGAGTGTGCACTCTTAACAACAAGTAACAACAAGGCTGCTGGTTCGACTCCCACATGGGATGGTGGCTACGCCCACCCGTAACTAAGATTGAACACAGCGCCTTGAGCTCAGAGGCCAGGAGCTGCCAACGGGGAACCCAGATGGCTACTGGCGCCCTCGGCAAGAAGACTGAAGAACAACAACTTGGCTGATCCCCTTCCTCAATTCCCCAACACTGTTCCCCCTCCCTCAAGTCCCCAATAAAATCTTAAAAAAAAAACACATCAGTTTGTAGCATACTTAAATCTGGAGAAATTCTTGCAAACTGAACTTTTGAGAGACTGTCCAGAGCAAATCATATTGTTAGTAAGTGAACAGAGTAATAGTTTCCTAAGATCAGTTAAGCTTTATGATACCCTATATGAACACGCTGTATTTGCATATAAAAATGATCTTACCTGTCCATCGCACGTTATTTAGTCATTTATAACCCAGAATCATTAAGAGTAGACTAGCTTTTTAAATTAATCAGAAATTTAAAAATTATACACATCAACATGAAGTAGGATTTTAAACAAGCAAACTGGCCTCAAATTAGGAATTTCTCTCTGGAGGATACATAAGGGGCGCTCGATTAATAAGACTATAAAGGCAGAGAAATTTTTTAAAATTATGATTCTCGGTATAAAGATAAAATATTTTATTAACTATATATACAAAATATTTATCCAATGAAAACAAAATGTCCTAGATCAATTACCTGCAAACTTTTTTGCTTGCAATCCTTTTACTTCGCCTTGGCACATCTGTACCGATTAAATGATTTCCAATGATGGCTACAGGAGAGAGTGAACTCTGAGATGACCCTTCTGGGCTTGTATCAAAGTGAACTATAAAAATAACCACATGTAATATACCACATTAAAACATTAAAAATACCACCATCCCCCCCACTCAAAAAAAATGCAACCCATAATGGTTACTCCAATGGTAACACCCCCACCCCACTCAGGATTCAGAGATGATCAAACTTCTGGGCAACCTCAACTCAACAGAAGACAGCAATACAGCCATAGCTATAGATCCGGAAATGACTAAAGTAGAATTCAGGATACCCAATCACATAAAACCTGAGCACCAGTGGTATCCACAGAAGCCCAAGCTCTCACTCCGAGTTATTTATCACAACACTCAGTAAGCACAGCCATACAACACATACACATTAGTTATAATGACCAGTGTCTGTTTTAAAAACTAGGGGGCTTCATAAAAATTCAGATTGATAAAAAACAGAATAAAGCTCTGGCTCCTAAAGAATGGTATTAGGAAATATTTTTCTCAGTCTGTTGAGATCTTGCTTCCAGGTTTGGCTCAAATAAATTTTTATAAAATTTCAAAAAAAAAAAAGTTTTATTAATAGGAAATAGCACTTGGCCCAGGATAGGCACTCATAGTAATGTTTACAGCCCAATTATATAAATTATATTTGCTACCTGATACTGGTGTAGAACTGCTACTGAAGAGATTAATTGGCAACAACTCAAAGTTAAAATTGTGCTTGATGGACTTCCTTTTCTTACTTGAGACGCCATGAGAAGAATCTACTGGAAGTTTACGCTTAGCATTCGGTGTGAGAATCACTGGTGATTCGGATAGCTGGGCTGAAAAAAAAACCCGAAACACTTTGTTGTTTCTCCCACAGGATAAAATACACAAGTTTTATTAATTTATTCTTATAAAGGTATTACTTAAGGCTAACCAAGGAATAGGGTGATATGTTTATGTTATCAAATATAGAGGGTGCTAAAAAAATGTATACACATTTTAAGAAAGGAAAACTATTAAAATTGTAATACTCAATATATACCGATAACAAAAGATGAATACAAGTCACGTTTGACTTCTGTATTACAAGAGGTGCTCAAAGTGGTTACCATCAGCCTCCAGACACTTCTGATTACAGCGAACTACTGCTTGGGCAACGCTGACCAAAATGTCTACTTATATACATTTTTTTGGCACCCCCAGTATATGTTATATATCTAAATTAACACTGTGCCAATTCCACAAAATAAAAATAGACAAGTTACAAATAGGCAAGATTCTTAAAACAGAGGCAAATAGTAGTAACTTAAACCAAATAGACTAGATGCATATAATTCACGTTAAAAAATATTAACATAGAAAAGAAAATTATAATCAAAGAGTTTAAAGAAATATTTTTGCTTTTCATTATAACTGAGTATTAATCAATTAATTTATGCAATCTGGAAAACCAAACAAATGACTATATTGTCTGTTGCTGAGCTAAATAATTTCAGCCACAAGCAAACCAAGATAAAAAATGGAACATACATCAATAAACTTCTGGTTCTAAAACAAAAATAAGGTTGAGTTATTTTCACATGTTCAATAGCATCCAACTTACAAGCAACAGAAAAGCATGATTTAGATTAAAGATATAACAACAGACTAAAAGAAATTCTTACCTACAATTTTGGGTTCATTATATCCAATGTAATTAGCAATGTCACAACATAGTATTATCGTACAATATCTCCATTAAAAATTTGGAGTTCTGAAACCTATGTAATTTTACTAACCATTGTTATCCCAATAAAATTTAATTTAAAAAATAATATTGGATTTGATTAAACCAAAACAAGTCAGAAATTTTCATTTAATAAATACATATAATACCTACCGATTCTCTCCTGTTGCGGTGTAATAGAGGGTGTTCTGTTATATTTAAGTTTATTTAGTGCTCCACTAACAAAATCTGAAATGCAAGGCGTATATAATCATAAAATCAATTGTAGCTTAACATTTACCTTTCGTTCACCAATAATTCATATTGATATTTGTAGTCTTCTAGCATCTAAGTTTGTATCAGATTATACATTTTTAAAGTCACTTGAGGGTATTTAAAAGGAATTATTTCAAAATAGAAAAAAAAACAAAAAACTAAAGAATATATTTTTATTCCATTCCACTTATAATCCCATATCTCCCACTCAAAAAGAAAAAAAAAAAAAAGAATGTAAAACAAGTATGTATAAAGTACAGAAAGAATGTGGAAGAGGAAAGCATTACTTGTAGAGAAAGGAACGAAATGGCAGCAAGAGAAAAAGCTTTTCAGGGGACGTAAAACTCTGGTCTGTGTTCTAAAGAATTAGTAGGTGTTGATTAAGTAGAAAGGTAACGTTTGAGGCAAGGTGAATAGCATATGCAAAGGCATGTAATTAAAACAGGATTTATGCATACTAGAACAGTAGTTTGATATTGCTAGAGCAAACAGGGAGCAGTGGATATAGCAAGAGATAAGCCTTGTGTATCAGGCAGAACAGGGCCTGTGTGTCATTTTCAAGAACTTGAACTTCTCCAAAGGCAAAGGGGAACAAAACTGACTGATCTACAGTTTAGAAAAATTACTTTGGCAGCAGGTGTGAGACACTTAAGGGAGCAAGCCTCCTTGGAGGGAGGCAACTAAGGAAGGTTCTTGTAAGTATGTTACTAAGTCATTCAACAAATATATATTTTGTACCTACTATGTGTCAAGCACAGTCCTAGCCCTGCAGATATAAGAGTGGCCAAAATAGACATGGTCTTTGCCTTCATGAAATTTACTCTCCTGGAGGAAACAAACATTAAATATACCAAGGAAATACTAAATACATAATGACAAATGGGATAAGTAGTCTGAAGTACAAACATAACAACAGATTTAGATTGGGAAGTCAAAGAAGGTATCCTTGAGGAAGTGGTATTTAAGGTGAGACCTGAAGGAAGAGTGGAAATTATCCAGGATGGGGATGAAGGTCTGAACTAAGGCAGGATCAGTGGGAAATGGACACAGAATAGAAGGTATTTAGGAGATCAAAGGGATAAGAGTTGGTGAGCAGTGGGATATGGGGATGAGAAAAGAGTAAATAAGGACATACAGAATTCTAACTTTGATGACTGAGTAGACAATGGTGCCACCAAAAGAATAAGGAAATTATGCAAGAAAGAGACATTTCTATGAGACACTAAAGGGATATGAATCCATTTGTGGTAAGACCAGGGCTAGAGAAGTAGATTTAGGAGTCATCAGCCCAGAAATGGTAGTTGAATGAGTGAATGAGATCACTTAAAAAGAGGACAAAGTATAAGAAAATCAAGTATGGAAGAATGGGACATTTAAGAGGTGTTCAGAAAAAGAAAATCCAGGAAATGAGACAGAACAAATAGCTAAAGAGGTGTGGAAACAATGAAAGCACAGTATTATTAAAAAAAAAAAAAAAAAAAAAAAAAAAAAAAAACAAGAAAAAAATATCTGGAAGGAAAGGAAACAGTGAAGTGGTCAAAGGGATTCTAAATAATACAGGCCAAAAAAATACATATTGGTTTTACCTATTAGGAAATTGTGACTTTAACAGGAATATTCATGCAAAAATATGCTCCTAATTTTCAGTCACAATGAAACACAGGTCTTTTAAATATGTTCATTAAGTATCACTCAAAATAAGTATTTAAATTTAAGTTTAGCTATAGATCAATTATGTGTTATTGAGAAATACTACACCCTCAAGTGAAACAGGCACAAACCAGAGAATACCGAAAACCTCACTAAAGAGCCAAAGACAGGCAATGCTGTATCTAACTGGAAGGCAGTGGCTAATCAGCCAAACTTCGGGGCACTAGGCAGATAAACAAGGTTAATATGCGGGAGGAAAAAGAGAAAAAAGGAAGAGAAACAAGAGTCAGAGCAGAAGAGAAGAAACAATGGAGCAACAAATTCAGCCCCAGCAGATAACGCACAATTAAACAGCACGGCAAAATCAGGAGTATGGAGAGACAAACTGTTCCCTCTAGAACCTGAAACGCCACAATTCTTGACTTTTCTTCCTACTTTTCCTCCAAGTCTCAATTCTTCAAACCAGATAACTTTTAAAATAGTGTAATCATGTTATGCCCCTTCTCATAATCCTTCAATACCCAGCTTAATATTCTAATTTTTTTTTTTTTTTAAACTGGTGAATTGGGGAAGGTGAACAGCATTGGGGAATTGGGGAAGGGGAACAGACAAGTTACTGTCCTTTCGTTCTTCAGTCTAATTGTGGAGGATGTCGCGTCACTGGCCCATGTTGGTATTATCATTGTGCTCTTCCTGGGTGAGGCAGTCGCTCGCCAGCCATTGGACGGCCGCTCATGGTGGCTCACGCCAGTTGCTGGCCTCTCACACTGGCTGCCAGCCACTCATGGTAGCTCATGGCAGCCCACTGCAGCCCCACTGCACCCTACACCATCACCGGCGACTCACGGCAGCCCAGCTCCAGGTCGAGTTGTTGTTCACCATCTTAGCTGTAGAGCGCAGTGTCACTGGCCCTCATGTGGGATCCGAACCACAGCCATGCTGCTCAGAGGCGGCACTCCCAAGCCAACTCTTAACCAATGCGCCACACGGCCGGCCCAATATTCTAATTCTTTAGCCTGACGCTGAGCTCACCACAATATCATCCTAGGAATTAGGATGAATGCTTCAATCAAGTCACGCTGGTCTTTTTACAGACATTGATTACTCCTTCCTTACAGAAACCTTTTTTCACAGCATCCTTCTCATCTAGAGCAGGATGCAAGCATTCTGACCCTCCACCCAATTCCCCTAGATTCTACCCATTCTTTCAGAAGGTTCAGTTTGATCTCCTATTTGCAGAGTCCCTGACATTACAACCCCGGGAACTTTTCTCCTTTGAACCCACTTTGTGCTAAAGATCTAGCACTTAATTTTCAGTTGTACTGTTATTTTTAATTTTCACATACAGATGCCGTGTCTTTCCAACTATGCTGTAAGCACCAATACACCATAGCTTCTGCTTCTTTATGTTCAAATGCATTTCAGATAAAAGCAAATTGCTGTACCCCCATAAAAAGGACTGTCACTGCCACTTGCCTCCTACACTTTGCCTTCGTTTTCTCTTATGGTCACCAGGAGTTTCATATTCGCCTTCTTCAAAGCCTTCCAGTGATGGAGTAGCACAGAGACCATCAACACCCAACATAGCTGGTATCTTCTCCAGGATAAAATCTGGAATGTGCCCTAAAAGAAAATGTTCACAGTTAAGATCTTTCCTCTACTCCCCCTCGAAATATTTAAATAGTATACACCAGCTTTCTAACAGTTATCTTCATAGTTGACTTGGAAGAAGCTGGGATAGCCCTCATTTAAACTAATCCCATTATTTAATAATGCAGCTACATCTTACCAATATCTGATGCACAATCAATAAGAGTCTGTACTACTGCAGCCTGCAGTCGTAGCTTTTTTTCTGTGTTAGCAGACATCTTTTCATGTCCTTCACTTATCTGAAGAAGGTTTGGTGCAAATATTACTGCAAGATTGCTGCTATCCATCTTATTCTCACTGGACCTTAAATGAAAAATGGTTTTATGAGATGTAGCCAAAGGTAAAAATATGAAGTAAAAATAACGTATTAAGCACATCATGAAGACCTCTTACTTTACCAGTCAAACACAACTGAAAATAAGTTACCCTTCAACTACATGATTGCCTTGAAATAAGACTGAGCTAGAAATACATAGCTTGTGTGCTTAAATATATATCATAAAAATCATGCAAACCATAGAGTCACACTTTGTTTTTCCACACAAATTGAACATGTTTATTTGATTTTCAAACCCACACACAGAAAATTTGAAATATTAGAAGGCAGGAAGCTTGTGTAGGACAAGCAGGCTCAGTGATATCAGGGAGAGGGACAAGTTTAAAAAGCAAAACACAAATATTTTAATAACACTGTAATCTGAAATCATTCAGTGGACAAAGAATCCTGTAAGCATCAATAATCCATTAAGACATTCATAATGATGACTCTTAAGACAGCCAAAAAATATTAAATCACTTGTTATACTGTTCCTTAAACTATACAGTGTACACATCTTATAAGGCAATATATAATAACTTTTAGAAAATTTTCCAATCCAAATGTAATTGATATAGGGTTAAATCTAGCTAGTTGAAAAATTAAACTATCATTTCCCAAGACTTAATTACTACTCACCTAAGAGAAACATTCCTGAGGAAGTTAAAGAAGTATCTTAATATATCAATTGTGTGGTCAGGCATAAGGCAGGAGAGCAACAGTGTAGCTTTATTCTTCTCCTCGGCTCCTAACTGTTGAGCTTTGAAAAGCGCTTCATGCAAATCAGTTGGGAGAAGTGGCTCTGGCAGTTCCCTAAAAAATTGCTTAAGAAGTCCTGCAATATCACAAGGAGGTGCAGAAGACAGGCCACTTTCACCATGATCCAGTTTATTCTGAAATAAATAAAATAATCTTGAGCATTTGGGGGCTTAAGTGTAAATTGCAAATAAAGTATCCTTATACTCTAAAGAGCTTTCTTCAATGAATTTCTCTTAACTCTTGTCCAAATACATATCACTCCCTTTTAGAAGGCTAAAAACAATGTTTAAAGTGTTTATTTTCATTTATAAGAACAAGGGTCATGAATTTGAAAGTACTCTGTAAACTTTTAAAGCATGACATAAATAGCTTGGTCATGATGATCATTTCACAATAGTATATGTAAATCAAAACATCAAGTTGTACATCTTAAATGTTTTGTGAATTATACCTCAATAAAACTGAAAAAAAAGCCTTATATAAATAATATACATTTTCTTTTAAAAAATTCTTTTTCTTTTGTCATGAAAAAAGCTATTTGCAAATTCAATTTCTGTCAATAATTCATGTAATACCTCTAAATATTTCAATTGTAAAAATCAAATCAAAAAGTGGTACCAAAGAAAAAGTACAGTTCAAGAATATGCTTACCTTTAGTGCTTTTAGACGAATAACAGATCCTGATTTCCTAAAAAGCCCTTCTGTGTGAATATGCTGTTCTAAAGACGTGCAAGCATCAACAAGAAAACTGAAAGAGAGAAATCTTCTCAGGTGGCCAGATACACATCTTTCAAAATCCTATTATTCTGCCAAAGTATATCAGCAGACTAGGCACCACATTCCTTTCAGAGGCTCTGATGCCACAAATCCCTTTAATCCCTGTGATAAGACGTTACTAGCTCCTAAATTCTTCTCTAAGACCCATCTTTTTACCCATAACAACTTCAAGGAGCCAGCTCAATCCTACATCCTTCTCAATCCTACTCCATTTCTCTGCTTCCACACAGAGCATGAGATTTGTCATTTTTTACTGCCTCGACTTCCTCATGGCCCCGTCTCTACTCCACCCTCTCCAATCTGCCTCTCATTCCCATTACTCCAACTAAACAGCTCTCGTCAAGGTTACCAAATCCATGGTCAATTCAGTGTCTTCATTGCTTGTCCTACTAGCATTTAACACACTTGACCACGCCAATCATCTTGAAAATACTCTTTATCACTATTCTTCTGGTTTTTCTGCTGATTACCTGACTGCTTCTTCTCAGAATCCTTTCCTGGATCTTCTTTTTCTGCCAGACCTACATGCCAGGATGAGCCAGGACTGTCTAAAGCCTTCTTCTTTTCTTTCTCTCCATGTGTGATCTTACACAGAATACACAGCTCAAAATATCTACCATCTACTACATTAGCCCAAAAATAAGGCAAGGTTTTTTTTCTCACCCTAACATTACTTCTCAGAGAAGTTGGATATATCCCAGTCCTTACAATCCTTCTTGTATTTAGAGGTATGTGCTCAGTTTCTTTATACTGAATAATTTTGAACAATCAGTTTTGGCTTTAAATGCTTAGTTAACAGCTGGTACCAAGAAATTAGAACAGATGTCAGCTGCAAGAAACTGATAGTTGTGCTGGTACACAGTGGCTGGCCGTCGCAGAGGGTAACAAACAAAACAGTTTTTAAAAAAAAAGCAGGCAAAGAAATTACAACACAGATGTAGTCATTATTGCTGGGAATACAAGTTTGCAATCTAAATGTTGAAAATCATTATAAACAAACCTTTTATAGGCCATTTAAAAAGCAAAACAGTTAAGTGGTTACCTTATAAAGATTGTGAATCGACACCTATATGCTGAGGGAAAACCTTTCTAAGCAGCAAGGTGTTCAATAAATGCTTTTGGACAATGCATCAGTTAAAAACCTAGGTCTTTGGACTAGAGTAGCCAGAATGAACCCTACTTTGGACAGAGAGGAAATTAATTAGTAAGAGCTAAGATAGTTTCCTTATGTATATTTTAAAAACTATTTTCTTTAGATGTAAACTTCCCTAGTAATTTCTGATACAGTTAGTCCAAAGGTTATTTATAAATAGCAAGTGAAATAGAAAAGCTCGAGTGTTACATAATTTATATTCACAAATACTCCGATACCTTAGCTTACACATTCTTTTACCCAACACTTCTAAAATAAGAACTATAAAAATTAAAACTGAATTGGTAATTCAATATATTATTGAATATAATCAGAATTGAAGCAAAATAATTGGCAAAGAACTGAAAACTCTAACTTAATAGAACAAAAATAAGTTTCTTTCTAACATTTATTCATTACTGGATCTTAACATTCAATCCTGGGAATGAATACAAATCAAAAAGTTAAAATATGTAAAAGTTTAAAAATATTTTTACATTACTGTTGAGAAATGAAATTATTTGCTAGTTCTAAAACAGGTGTGCATCCATCAACTATTTTTAAACACTCAAACACCAGTTTGAAATATTTATTCTTCATTTCAAACTCTGCTTACCTTGGAATGTATCCATATTCTGGTACAACAGAATGGGGCAATGCATTAAAAGGTACTCCAAAAATTTTCCCCTAAAATGACAAATTTAGTTACTCTAACACAAATATTAGCCATAATATAAGTTTTCATAAACATTAGGCAAGTTAAAAACCTCAGGAAATAAAAAAAGATAGCAGAAATAAACAGTCAAGACAATGAAAACAATTATTTTGAGTACATTTGGTGAAAGTAACTACTATATACCAGACATTATGCTAGGTGCTGGGGAGTACAAAGAGGATAAAGTCACTGCCCTCAAACAGTGTGGTAAATCCCATCAGTTTCCAATGTCAGAAAGGAAAATCAATCCAGTTAGTGCTTAACCAGAAAATTCTTAAACAGAATTTGGCTCAAAACACTTGTAGTTTCCCAAAACTATTACCGGTTCCTTCAGTAACCTTATAAATAATGACCTTTTACCTTCCTTCTGTCACCTTATAAATACTAATTTGAACAAAAAGCTAAGTCAATTGATAATGGTAATTCTTGTCACTCACTGAGTCCTTCCTAAATTATACCAGAAGTGGTTATTTTTAGACCTGATTATCTTTTCCACACTCCATGGAAAAGTGCTACTGAAACTATGTTGAGGTACTAAAGGTAAGGATTCTGCAAACATTTAATTCAAATTTCATTTAATTACCATTGTTTAAAAGTCATATTCAAATGTATTATTCACATTCAAATTGTAATACTTGACGACCCCAAGAGTCAACTTGTATGTTGGTTAACTTGCATGTTTGTACACACCTCGCCACTATCTTTGTGCATGCATTCAAACTTCTTAAAAAAGTGTCACTGATTAAAAAGGTTGTATCTTTTCACTGGATTTAAAAAAATAAACTGAAGCATTATACAAAGTTAAATAAGTGGGTATACCTAATCTCACAAAGGTTAATTTAGCTTAGATGCATGTGCTCTCCATGAATGAATGCTCTTGAAGCACTTATAAGAGCATCTCATTTAACTTTTTATTTACAATATATAGGAAATCATTCAGCATTGTTAATGATTCAACAGAGTATCAAAATCTTACTAGTCCTTTTTCAAGCATCTGGCTCCATTTAATTGACGAGTATAGAAAAGATAGTGCAGTACAGGGCTTCAGAGAGCAAGCTCCTAGAGGCAGGACTGCCAAATTTTCAATCCTGGTTCTTCCACCGCTCACATGACCTTGATCAAATATCAGTTTGATCAAATATCAAATATTAATTTGATCAAATATCAATTTGATCATTAATTTGAGGCATAATTTTTATGCCTCAGTACCCACATAGGTCCTGTCATAGTTGTAGAAAGAATTAAATAAACTAAAACATACAAAATATTTATATCAGTGTTTGACACAGAGTAAGCATTCAAAGAATATTTGCTACCGTTACAATTATCATTTCAAGGTGAGCTACCAAAAAAAATGTTAGTATGGGCAACCACTTATTTGGGTAAATAAGAATTTTCTTGATACTATGCAACCAAACAAAACACAAAAATAAATCAGATCCTGAAGCTGATTATAAGTCTAAATGTCATACATAAGTAGAATTCAGGGTTTCTTTTTCTTAAGTCTCATTATTCTCAATACTTTCATCATCCTAACAACAATCTTTAGCTGAGTAAGTGGCATATGACAGGCATTATGCTAATCCTATCTACAGATTTTAATGTTTTTAATCCCCTAAACAGCCCAAAGGAAGATACCATTATTACCACTTTGTGGAATAGGAAACTGAAGCACAGGAAAATTAAACAAGCAGCCTAAGATTACACACCTAATAGGGATTGAGCAGGATTCAAGCTCAGGTCTATCTGACTCTAAAGACTGGTGTCAGTTTTCTTAAAGAGGTGGAAAAAACAAAATGCATGTACAAATTCTTTCATATACTTACAAAACCAACTATATTTGAGATCTTGGAAAGTCAGTTTTACAATCAGAAAAAAAAAACCAACCACTGTAGCTTTTAAATATAAACAAATATGTTGCCATTAAGTTGCAAACAATAAAAACAACTCCAGAATTTAAGAGGTATACAAATTTTCGTTAGTTTTCTTCTCCAAGTACTTATTATCTTTCAGAAATTATAAATTAAGAGCTATGCAATTTCATTTTATTAGTTTTCATCTCTAAGTGCTTAGAAAATACCATAAGAGGGAAATGAATTTAAAATAAATTGCATTATATGCAATTTATTTTATTTTTCGCAATGAAATTCTGGATGATGCAGTAGAGATATAAAAATCTCCTTCAAAATCCCCTTACTTTGACCACCCCTAAATTATCAACAGCTTTTTAATCATTCCCCTCTGGTTTCTCAACTTGCTCATTAAAAAAATAATAACTTTGTCTCAAAATATGATATAGTCAAGCAGCAAGCTTGTTTTTTTGAAATTGGTGAATACAGCAGTATTATCTGAAACCTATTTCTAATGTCCTGCCACACCTCCTCAACCTACTGATTCATTTAGAAAATGTACTGGTCCCCCTTGTCCCTCTCCAAATCTTACTCTACAACAGTGGTAATGGGTAGCGTTTGTCTCCCTTCCTATGTGCTTCTTGTTCAAAATACAGTAAAATGGCAATATCTGGAGACATTTGTAATTGTCACAAATAAGACGCTACTGGCGTCTAGTGGGTAGAAGTCAAAGATGCTGTTAAACGTCCTACAAAGCACAGAGCAGCGACACTCCCCTTCAATTTTCCAGTTTAAAATGTCAAGCTGCAGAGGCTGAAAACCCCTGCAACTTTCTCTCAACGACCAAAAATCCCTGTAAAGAATAAAAAATGTCATTCTTTCCATTTCAGCAGTCGACCAGCTGGGTAGAATTAGACACAAAGCCACACATTTCTTTTGGCTCCATACAGAATGGACATTTTAGCATGCCCTGGAAATAAGTGATGGTACAGGGTGTGCTTTAAAAAAACAAAACAAAACAAAACCCAAACGTCCTTCCCCAGGACTTACCCCTGTTTCCGTGGCTGCTGTTTCCTGTCTCCTGCGATCGCACTGACCACGGCTACCTTTGACCTTAATGCCATGGACAGCCCGAAGGTGCTGCAACAAGGCCAACCTCACCAGCCTCTGATTCCACATCCCGGACACGTCGCCCACTCTCCGAGGCAGGATCCGAGTCCTGAATCTCCTCTGCCACCAAGTCTTCCAATTCCCGAACACTCTCAGGCCCCGGCCCCCGGCCACCTCCACGGCTTTTTCCTTGTTCCTCAATCCACTTCCACCCACCGTCTTCTTAGTCCCTGGCTCCAGCCACACCTCACCCTTCCTTCACTTACACAGACCTTCTTCTGTCTTGCCACCCGCTCCTTTCCGCCACTTACACAGACCTCCCTGTCTTCTGCTGGTCCTCTCGGACCCTTGGACCAACGCCTGTTACCAGCTTCTCACCGCTTCCGGCCACTTCCCGAGATCCCTTTTCCTCCAAACCTGACTTAGCCCTCGTCTCTCGGCCAACTGTTTAGACGACTTTTCTCGCCCTTCCTGCCCCGGAAAGCTCAGTGGCGTGTTCGTCTCTCTGTCCCCCACGCCCCGCGCCTTAGCCCAGCCGCCGGACCCGCCGGCTGCTCAGGCGCCTCGTCCAGTCCCGGTCCCCGCCCGGGCTGGTTGCCACCGTCACCCCGTCTCACAGGCTGCTCCTTCCCTCCGCCATCAGCCTGCCCGCGGCCCCCGGCCCGCCCATGCCGGTGCGCTCACTGAAGCCCAGCGGCTGTCCTCATGCCTCCGCCCCCACCTCCTCGGCAGACAGCCGGAGCTCCAGAGACCTTCCCACCCGCAGGCACAGCCCAGGCTCGAATGGCAGCGCCAAACAGCGCTCCGCACTCTGATTGGCCCGCTCCTCTTTTCAAAATCAGGACCTCGCAGGGTGGCCAGATGCTGCCTGTCTAATAAGATGCGGTCGAAGGGGCGACAACGACGGGTGTGGCGGGCAAAACTAAGAAACATAAAACACCAAAAAAGAAAGATGAGCTTCCACTCGCTCCTTCGTAGCCGTATTTTTGAAGGAAAATCCTTTATAAAGAGTATTGACTGAGGCAATATATTCGGGGGAATGTGATAGACACCTCATTCTCAGTTTTTTTCAGACCTTGACTTACAGAGAAACCGCTTCTACGGAACCCGAGGTGAAACAATTTGAGTCAGGATTCACAAACGCGGATTTCAGTCACCCTGACTCCGGGCGTTTGGTGGGAATTTCGGCTATGGGAACTGGTCCATATTTGGGACACTGGTTGTGATGCTCAAATCTTAGGGCATAAGTAGTTAACTACAAAGAAATCCTGTTGAGAGAGTAATGGGCGGGAGCAATGCGAAGTCAGCAGTTGCAGAAGCTTTTTTTTTTTTTTTCGGTGGGATTTGGAGTTAGGACACTGGGAGGAACCCGGCTTGGGGCCCACACATTGCTGAAACCTTGGGTATCTTGTTGACGAACAGGACTACACACATACGGTTCTTGTTCCCGGCTGCTTTAACATTCTCAGTCATCGGCGATCCCAACAGGTTGTTCCTTGTCTTCTGGGGTGTAATTATTTTAGGACTTCTGTTGAGGGATCTATTTGCACGCCACCGTATCTTTCCTCCTCTAGGTCGAAGACCCTTGAGAACGCAGGAGCCAGGTTCATGTTTCCCTCCCACAAACGGTAGCCCAGAACTTGGAATAAAGTGCTCATTGACTGCTTTTGGAATGAATCAATGAGGGATTCAGTTGCCACTCTTACACAGTAGGGTAAACAAACAAGCAGGAACACACCTTGAGGGTGAAAATTAAGTCTAAATTTGGGAAGACGGAGCAAGGAAACCTACCGTAGTTCCCCATACCGTATAAGACGCACCCTTTTTCGAAAAATTTGGGGTCTAAAAACTGGGTGTGTCATACAGTGGTAGATTTTTTTACTTGCGTTTCCTGCTTTTTCGCGCTTGTCTTTGCGCTCGTTTCCCACTTGTTACCGGTATATTACCATAGGTTACATTTTGCCCTGTTCTGCCCAGAAATGGCTCTGAAAAGATTTTCGTACAGTGCTGAATTCAAGTTAAAAGTGATCCAGTTTGCAAAGTGAGTGGAAATCGTGCTGCTGAACATAAGTTTGGCCCTCCTCCAACTGAGAAAACAGTCTGAGACTGGCTATGGGAAGAAGAAACCCTACTGAAAACGCCACGGCAGAAGGCCATGAGAGAGGCAAGTCAGCAAAATGGCCAGATTTAGAGAGGGAATTGAAGATATGGATTGAAGAGCAAAGGGCAATTGGGTGATTTGTCATCAGACACAGATGAGGACAAGCTAAGGGTTGGGAGTTTTGACAGTGATGAGGAGTTGTATGAATTTTATGATGCATAAAACTTGAGTTCAATAACTTTATGTAATACATTTTTTTTCAAAGTTCGGGCCCCCAAATTAAGGTGCGTCTTACACATGGGAGCGTCTTATACATGGGGAAATGCGGTATATACCAACATGGCTGTGCGCAGACTCCAGATCGCTAGTTCAAGCGCATCCCTTGTCAAATACGTGTGGGGATTTAAACCAGTTTGTTTGCCACAGGATCTCCACGGGCCTTTCATACGGCCGTCGTGCACTGGGACTTACCAGTAAGAGGAGGGAGTGAGGCTGCACTTCCTAGTATTTGACTGCTGACTTATTTTTTCTCATTATTTCAGAGCACCTGGGTGGTTGGTGTTTGAGGAATGAACTTTGGGGCAGGTAAACCCATTAAGAACACCCTTCAGGACTGCTCTTCTCATACTTGGTTGGCTTTCCTATCATTGCACTCACACGGTCTCCAAGATTTAGTTGAACGTTGTGCTCCGTCAGATCTAAGCAGTTTGGGCACAGTTGTAGATCATATGTGTTTTTTCACTGAAAGAAGGAAAAAGTTGAGTGGGTATGAGGAAAGTAATGGTTTGAAATCATCGAAGGCCTTTCAAAGACAGGCTGTTGTCCATCAGCCTAAAATGTCACTGGCAATTCTTGCTTGAACTTTGATGTAAGCAGACAAAGATAGGGAGGTTTATGCCGTTCTCCAGAATAAATTAGGATGAGTGTATTGTTTGTGTTCTTCAGGGAGCAGACACCAAGACATGATTAGATGTGCAAGATATTTGGGGGGGAGGGGACGAGGGGGGGGAGTGCTTGTGAAGGATAAACCACAGGAAGCAGGAGTAGTAGGGAGAACATTTAGATCATGATGCAGGCCTGGCACCTGTGAATGGGGAGGGGGCGGAATGGAGGATTGGATAGGGAAAAACTCAATTACAGTGCAGTTCTAAGAAATTTTGCCAGGCTAATGGAGAGTTCCTCACTTAAAACCACATGTTGAAGTCTTCTATTCCATAGGACTGAGCCAGCGCTGGTAACCCTCAGTCATTGACTGGGAACAGTGCATGGTGCAAATGCCTTGGTGGATTCAGGGGGCCAACAACTGTGGGGCTGTCAGTCAGCTGTTTCTTGCAACAGAAATCTGAATGGTAAATTTTTATGACCACCAGGGGAATGAAGTCAGATCACCGGGGTTTGAATTCCAGCTCTACCACTTAATTATGGGAAAGTTATCTAACTTGTCTGAGCCCAAATTCCTCATCTGTAAAATGGAAATTATTAAAATATCCACTTCAAAGAGTTGTTATGAGACGAACATGACTCATGAAATTCTTAGCATATTGCCTGGTACATTCAAGATCTCAAAAATGTTAACTACTATTATGACAGACACTTGTAACTGGTCCAAAGAAGCCTCAACCCTCAGGGCATTCTGACAGCTGATGAAATGTTGCAAGTTGAGAGAAAATCTTTATACGATGTACCACACTGTGTGTGTAGAACTCCATTCCAGTGTCTTTTAGATATGATCCTTTCTCCCTGCTCCTCAGAACAAAAGCATTCTCTTCTGACTTTCACTTCCAAACTTTTCATATAAGGGGAAAGGACAGCATCCCCATTTCCCTGCTAGATATGACATGGCTTGTTTTCCTTAAAGAGTTTGTTCATTCTGTGTGCCCCCTGAGGACATCAATCATGCTGTAAACAGAGGAGAGGGCCAAGCTCAGTCAAGCAAATGACAGAATATTGAAAAGGCCATGGCTGTGAAGTACACCACTACAATCCACAGAATATATGAGGCATTAAAATCCTAATGCCTTGACTTTTGATGAGAATTTATAGGAGATGAGAAAAATGATTTTTATGGCCAAAATTCAGAGGGGTGGATTCACTTCACCCCTGCCAGCAGTGTTAAATTCACTGAACTATCTTCTGTGGTCACAGAATTCTGTCTGTATGGAGCTCGGTGTGATGGGGAGATTCGTACAAGGGTCTACGCTGTTAAATGGCAAAGCTGGATCTGCCTGGCTCCCAAATGCATGCTCGGTCTAAATGACACAATGCTAATTGTGACGCCTTTCCTGTAGGAGGACACCCGTGAACTTGATTTAAAGCAGCCTTCATCCAAAGCCACCACTTTTCTTTTTTTATGATATGCAGTATTTAATTTTATTGTTATACTTGGTGCTGTTATTGAATCAATCAAGCTATACTACAAATTAGAAGTATACAGTGTTTAGGGAGTAGCTTTTTATTCTATATTCCTGTTACAAAATAAAAAAGGAGGGGGAATAGTGTGTCAACGTTCCATGAAAAGCCACCACCTTTTGATTTGAGTGGTAACTGAAAACCTTTCTATCTAAAAATGTCTCCCTCACTAATCTCTGTAATTTCCTGTTAGGAGCTGGTTGCTTTGGCTTTAGTTCTGGTTTTCTTTTAAAATGCAAATTCCCCTGAGAGATGAGACATTGTGAATAATTGTTGCAGATATTTTATTTTCAAGGGAGACCTTGATAGCATTATACCATTGGTCACCTGGGGAACAGAGGCATTTATAGAAAAAAATGGCAAAAACCAGAACAGTTGGAGGTGCCAAGTTAGTGAGCCTATCTCACGATTTAACTGAGGCTGAACACAGTGATCCTTTGTGCTTTTTAGGAAGAATGAGTTCTATATTTTAGAATGTGCATACCTATACCATGGTATTACTGTGAGAAATAAGACATACATAACTGAGAATGCTTTGTAATATAAGTGGATTAGTATAAGACAAAATGTGGCATGGTACTGTTTCAGTTTGTAAACGAATTCAGTTTTTATGGCCAAATACACTCTTCCTATTCCTTGTGTCTCCATTCTCTTGACCAAGCATCAAATATTAGTGTGTGTGTGTGTGTGGGGGGGGGAATAACTGGATACTAGAAACAAATTATATAGACCAAGGATTTATTCTAGAAAAGAATGTCTACTATTTCAAACTGAAAGAATTTCATGTTAGGAAAAGATTGAATACTTATGATTTTCAACATTATCGTTTCTTTCTGTTTTAGAAACAATTTATGTTTCTATTAATTTGACTTTCAAAAACAATTAAGCGCTATCAGAATTAACCAGCAGAGGGGAGTAAAGGAACACAAAACATTTTTCAGTTTAGGATAATTTTTGTGAATAAACAGGGCAGCAAAGTCCTCAAATCTATGCTTTTTTTATTAGTCAGTGGATCCAGGTGAGCACATTAAATTTTATGAACAGCTCAGTCTGTAGCCGAGGCAAAGGAATGCATCTATAGGTCACAGAGGCGTTGACCTTTGATCAGAAGTTACAGATGAGAAGGAGCTACCTCAGTGCGTTTTTATGGCCAACTTTGCCAAGTGTGAAGTTTTATTGTCCAAGTTTCTTGACACTATAGTGAAATCAATTTTACTATATACTAAAACCAATTTCTTTTCTTAATTTTGCATGGCTATCTTTGAATATTCGT